TTGCTCAGGCTGGTTTCGAACTCCTGAGCTCAAACAATCCGCCCGCCTGGGCCTCCCAGAGAGCTAGGATTACAGGCGTGAGCCACCGCGCCCCACCCCTTTGCTCTATTTTTAAATACTATTTAGCTTGGTTAACTATGGTTTGAAAAGTGAATAGCTACTTTGTCTACATTTTAAACCTATTTTGACTCAATCAAAAAGAAGGCATTTCCCTCCCAAAATACTTTAAATGATGATAGGAAGCCTAGACTAGACTACAAAAACCTGTTAGCAGATATGTTTCTGAGATACGAATGCTAAAAGTACTATTTCAAGTATACCCAACGACAATGTAACATTATTTCTGTGGAAAAATATATTGTGAACTCTAATCTGGGCTTCAAGAACATATTTCTTTATGTTTGTGAAGCTCCACATCATAGAGGATGGGCCCAGGGTGAGGAGATGGGATGAAATAGGTGACCACTGGTAGCTTACCAGCATTTTTTTAAAAGCAGGTATCTGCCTACATTTTAATAAATGGTGTGGTTTAAATCATCCTTTCTTAGGACTTCAGGGTACTGTTTTGAACTGGGAACAAAGAACAGTTACTACCTCATAATTTAGGAGGGTGGGAGTATTTTTCACTCAATATGCCTAACCTATAGATTATGTCTAAAAGTTTAGCACAATTTTTAATGTGACAGGTGAACTTACCTTGGTAGACAGTTATAATGTGTTCTCAATTTCATATAATACAATAATACCCATTTAACATAAAAGTATTTTCATAATTTACTCTAATTCAGAAGGTATCCCACATTTTATGGTACCACAGAATCAATACTATACACCTACTGCTCAAAATAGAACATCAGTTGATAGAATATTAGAAAAATCTTCTGCTATGCATACATATACTACTTTCCTAACCCTTCCTTTATTTAAACAGTTTTCTTATGAAGAGATGAGTTATTCAGTGTTATATTGGCACATGTAAAATACCTAAAATTGCTATCAATCAAATCTAGTAGTGGATTTTCTTTTTACTGCACGGACACTGGAAAGCTTCTTCCATTATACTTTGTCAATTCTCTTTTTGGAAGTGTTGCTGAAACCAGCTACACAAAGAAGCAATACTTTCAAGAAAAAGTACTTAATATTTAACAACTACAGGCAGTTTGCATAGAACATCTAATATTTAGCACTGCTATCTACTGATTATTAACTCATTGTATTATTTTCATAGCAAAATAAATAGCATGATGTGTGATGATATTTCTTAGAGATCACACAGAATTTAACATGTTCTTTTTTAAAGATAAGCAAAGAAAATATTTACCCTTATTTCTGGTTCTATCCGTAAACAGTAAGGCTGATTCTGATACTGCTGAATTTCTCCAGTAATTTCAGCTACTTTCCTCCTCTTACTGAAATTGATTAAATCTTTCCCTTTCTTTTTTAAAAAATCATTATTCCCTTCTTCGGTCTTCAGAATATTTGTTAAATATATTCCTAGT